GGGCTCTCAGCCCAATAGTTAAAAAGATGTACACATAGACCACTCAACCAAAGATGATGCACCCACATACTCTATGGTAATACATCCCTTAGAGCAATAGACCATGGGACACCAGAGGACCAACATTCAAACTGAGGAAATACAGGACAAACAGGAGTGCATAAATATGAGGGGCACAGGGGGAGGGTTGCAGGGTAGGGAGGGAAGGAGACTGGGTTAGGGTTGGACGTGACGAATGGGGAATGAAAGTAAATGTATGCGTTACATTGAATGTAAAACAAGCTCTTAAAAAAAAAAGTCAGTTGACTATAGATGTGTTAGTTTATTTCTGGAATCTGAATTCTATTCCATTGGCCTAAGTGCTTATTGTTATACCAGTACTAGGTTGTTTTGATTAAAGTAGCTGTATAATACGTTTTAAAATTAGGAAGTGTGAGTCCTCCTACTTTGTTATTCTCTCTCAACATTGTTTTAACTATTTGGTGCCTCTTGCCATTCCATAATGGGCCTGGGTTCCAGTGGTTAAAGGCTCAGGTTCTAACTAAAAGATGGGAGGTTTGAACCCCTCAGCTGTTCTATGGGAGAAAGATGTGGCAGTCTACTTCCATAAAGATTAAATTCCTCGGAAACCCTATGAGACAGTAGGAATTGACTTGACAGCAATGGGTTTGGCTTGGTTTTTGCCATTCCATATAAAATTGGGAGTTGATTTTCCATTTCTATAAAAAAAGCAGTTTCCCCATATTATTAGCATCTTACATTTGTTATAACTGATGGAGTAATATTGATACATAATTATTAACTAAACCCCATACTTCACTCAGACTTCCTTCATTTTCACCTAGGGTCTTTTTATTGTTCCAGGATTTCTCCCAGGGAACCACATTACATTTCATCTTCTTTTCTCCTTAGGATTCACTTGGCTGTGACAGTTTCTCAGACTTTCCTTGTTTCTGCTGACCTTGATGATTTTGAAGAGTACAGGTCAAGCATTTTGTAGAATGCTTTTCTATTGGATTGATATTATCATTTGGCTGGAGTTACGGTTTTTGAGAGAAAGATTACAGAGGTAAAGTGACATTTTTATCATATGACAGGCATACATACTATTGACATGGTTTATGACATTTTTTTTATTGCGATTTGGATGAAAGCTTACAAAAAAAATTCATTTTCCATACAGCAGTTCATACACATTTTGTTTCATGACATTGACTGCAATTCCCTAAAATGTAACAGTTCTCTTCCCACTTCCTTCCCATAGTTACCTCTTCCCTGGATCCTTCCCTCTCGTGCACTCCTGCCCCCCAAGCTCTCTCCCTGTGCAAACACTGCCTTCTGTTATCCCACAATTGATTGCTCCAAGGATTGTATCTGCCTGATATAAATATTCACCCTATATGCTTGTCTATTGTTTGTCTGGAAGCCACAGGAGTAAGCTGAGTTTCAGACCTGAAGGGTTACTAGGGGACATAGTCTCAGGGGTCTCACCAGGCTCTATCAGGCCAACAAACCTGGTCTTTTTTTTTTTTTTTTTTATGATTTTGAGTTTTGTTGCACATTGTTCTCCCACTCGGACCAAGATCTCCTGCACCAATCCCCCTCCTAGTGATTGACAGTGGTAGCTGGACACCATCTAGTTTCTTTTGATTTCATGGTCATATAGGCTGAGGATTGCATGGACTACTAGTCTCTTGGACTAATTGTTCCCATGGGTCTTTGGTTTTCTTCATTCTTCTTTGTTCTGAATGAGGAGAGATCCATTGTTACATCTAGATGGCCTCTTGAAAGCTTTTAAGACACCAGGAGCTACTCCCCAAAGTAGGATATAGAACAATGTTTTTGTGTAGTATGTTATGCCAATTGAGCTTAATCGACATGGTTTATCACTGTTGATGCTGACCTTGATCACCTGGCTGAGGTAATGCTTATCAGGTTTCTCTGTTGTAAAGTATCTCATTTTATTTTTTATTTTTCTCTTTCTAAATTATACATTGCTCAGCTCTGTGACACACAGTGCATCACACAGATCCTTTCCTTGGGTAGTTTTGTGCTGGGATAAGCCAATGGGAGGCACTGGTGAATGAGGTACCTCCCTACACCCACTCTCTCTTAGCTTAGTTACAGTCTCTGCATGGCTGCCCTCCCCTTCACACTCACCCTAATGGCTCCAGTCCACCTGGTGTGCCAGTGTGGTTTCTGATTCTGCCTGCTGACTGGGGGTTCTGGTAACACTGCCTATGCTCTGCATCCCTATACTGAGGGGTGACTGTGGCTTCATTCTGGGTTGCTTCACTTTTCTTCTTCAGTTCAATGGATATTGAGTCCAAGAATTTTGCTCTAAATGGTAGGATAAGAGGGTCTCTTTGTCACAGAATATTTATATTCAAAGAGAAGATTATACATATTCCAAATATATGGTTCTGTGATAGTAGTAAGGTGAAAAGGGGGACTGACTACCTTTTGGGTTATTCAGATGTGTCCAACTCTACAGACCTCTCAGGCTGTAGATCTGCCCAGTAGGAAGATCCCTCTCATATCCTTTTCCATATTGTACTGGATCCCAGATCATCTATGTACTCCAGTAGACTGTGTCTCATATTCCTGGACCTAGCTCAGTAAATAATTACTCTCATGATTGCATCAAAATGGAAAAAGAGCCAGAGAAGTGGAATATTCTTATTTCAATCATTGAGGGGTCTGGGCTTCTGTGGTTCCAGCAACTCTACTAGCTGTTGTCACAGCCTCAGAACCCTCCACCTTCTTGTTCTTTATTCTTGCTTTCTGCTTGGAACGCAGCAGCAAAGCATACAAATGTGGAAACAAAACTTTTCACACCTAACCTAAAGCCAGAGAACTTCAACCACTTTGTGTGATGACACATAACCAAGCCAGAGGAGCACATGCATATGTGTGGAGTCTGAGGTCTCTGAATCTGCTCCTCTGTGTTACCTTCCGGATATTTTGTGTCTAGAAAGAGGAAGACACCATCAGCTCTAAGTCAGCAACCTTCCTGGGAAGATGCAGCCACTCCTGTTCCTGTTAGCTCTTCTCCCGCCCCTCTGGATTAGAGCAGGTGAGTTACCCTTCCCCCCTTTCCAGAAGCCTGAGTCCATCTCACAAAATCCTCTGTACTCCTGTTCCTTCTGCTTAGTGCTGGTCAGGAATTTCCTTCAGTCTGACCCAGGAACCTTCTGAACCCCACCTTCTATCCCCAAACCAGACTAACCAGATGCTCGATAGACACTGAGTAAGGATGACAGGAAGGAAGAGCATTCCCTGAAAGCCTTAGTATGTGTTAGCCTCTCTCCTGCTACTCCTTATCACCTGGAAAATGGGTTGTTTTTAGAAAGGCACTTGGCAGAGGACATGAAGAGAAGTAATTAAAATCCTTCCTTCCATTTCAGGAAAGGAAATCTCAGACATATGGGGCTAGGGCAGTGGCTATTAAGCTATTCCTCAGTGTCCCCTACCCCCTTCTCCAGGCTGAGTTGTTCATTCCTGCCCAGGAAAGTAGCTCAGGGTTGCAATTGATTTCTGAAGTTCAATTGATTTTAAAGATCTTATATCGCCTGGACTCATTTGCAATCCACTTTCATTCAGCTTCTTTACCTCTCTTGCCTTCCCTTCCCAGCCCTTGGCTGATTCCACTGTCTTTGCAGCCCTCTTTCCCCAAATCCCTATGGCCTTGAATCTTACCAACACCACTTATACCAAACCTCATCCAAAGGCTAAATGGGAGTCATTTGAATGACTCATTCATGTAGCAAGGGAAAAAAAAAAGTTACTGAGCACCTAGGGTATGCTAGACCCTACAGGACATAAGAAATTTTGAAAATCCATCTCTAAAAGCTCATGGGTAAATTATCAGCAAATGGTACCAACTTGGATGTTTAGACATCAGGAAAGAAGGAAGAAAGGAGTTAGGAGCCTCCTGTTTAGGATTCTTTGGAGCTCTGCTATCATGCAGCCAGAGCCTGTCCCCTCCGTCCATGTGCCTGGACTAGCATGAGCAGAAAAAGCACTGCAAGCTTTCCAAAAAAATTCATCTGAAATTGAAGGTGAGGAAAGTTCTCTCTGACAGTAAGGAATGCTGCCCCAGCATCTGTAGCTCACTGTTGACTCCATGCCCCGTTGCCACATAGGAAGCCTGTCATGCTCACCACTGTCACCCTCAGTCTCCCTGTTTTCCTGCCTTTTCTTTCAGAGGTGATCATTGGAGGTCATGAAGCCAAGCCTCACTCACGTCCCTACATGGCCTTTCTTCAGTTTCTGCATCAGGAACGCTGGAAGAGGTGTGGCGGTGTACTGGTTCAAGAGGACTTTGTTCTGACAGCAGCTCACTGCTGGGGAAGGTGAGGACAGCAGCCAAACTATACGTCCCAAGATACCTACTCTAAGACTGCAGCTCAAGGGAGCTTCCTGGGCTCTGTGTAACACAGGCCCAAAAGATCTCATCAGAGGAGCCATCTGAGAGCAGGATCAAGTGATGAAAGTGTGAGAAATATAATAGGTAAGCTTTGAGGTCAAAAGATGAGAAGTTGAGGCAAGTGGGACCGGTCAGAGAGAGACCACAGTAGCCAAATAAAGCAGACAGTGGAGATGGAGAGCATGTACGAAGGTAACACTTTCATAATGTTGCCTGAGGGAAAAAGAGAGTCCCAGGAACACATACCTGAAATGTTTTGAGAAGCAGAGGACATGACAAGCTCAAGCCCAGGTCTTATTTTCTCCTCCATTTCCCCTCAGCTACAGGCCTGCCCTGACCCAGCTGTCACTTACACTTCTCAGCTCCTGGGTTAGAGCCTGTGACTCCCCACGCCCATTCTGTTCTCTGTGCAGCTCCATAAATGTCACCCTGGGGGCCCACAACATCAAGAAGAAGGAAAAGACCCAGCAGCAAATCCCTGTAAAAAGAGCCATCTGCCACCCAGGCTATAATGAGAAGACTTTTTTTAATGACATCATGCTGTTACAGGTGAGGCACACCTCCCTGCTATTCCCTGCTCTTCTGGATCCAGGGAGTTTCTCCTTCCAGCATGACTCCTGCGTTTCCCACCTTCCCCCGCTGGCTGCTTGACTAGTCCCAGTGCTTTGGCAGAGTACAATACAGTGCAGTCTGTCAAGGTCTCCAGCCTCCATAGGCTATTATTGACCAGGACTTTCTTGCCTCTCCCCATTAGCTGAAGTCAAAGGCCCAACGGACAGCAGCTGTGCTTCCACTCCACCTGCCAGGGAAAAAGGCCCAGGTGAGGCCAGGACAGGTATGCAGTGTAGCCGGCTGGGGCCAGGTCTCGATGGGCACTTTGACGACCACACTGCATGAGGTGGCATTGACTGTGCAGGGGGATCAGAAGTGTGAGTCCCTCTTTCCCAAGAATTACAACAGAGACACCGAGATCTGTGTGGGGAACCACAAGGAGAAGAAGACTGGTTTTAAGGTCAGTTTCCCACATCTACTTAGACCCCAGATAGATAGCTTGGTGGAGGTCTGGGTTATGGGAGTGGCCATGTCTTCATGCCCCCAGCCTGAGAATGTGGGCAGCCTGGGACCCCCACAAGTACAACCTCTAGTCTTTCTCCCCCTGGGTGGGCTGGGCTGGGGTTGGATGTCCAAGATAGGGAGAGGATCATTCACAGCAGCTTGATCAACAGAGTATTTCTGAGGATTAGAAAGAAAGTCTTGGCCTATGCTAGGCTAGGGAGAACAGTCAAGGCCAGGCTAGAGTCCGAGGATGGAGAGAGGTTCCAATCTCACACACACAGAGCTCCCTAACAACCCCCATCTCTGCCTTCTCAGCCAGTTCAGGGCCAGAACAGCAGGAAGGACAGGACTGGGACAAGGCCCAGCTCAACCCTTCCCTATCTGTCCACAGGGGGATTCCGGGGGCCCCCTTGTGTGTAAAAACATGGTCCACGGTATTTTCTCCTATGGACTCCAAAACGGGACACCTCCTGGAGTTTTCATGAAGATCTCACGCTTCCTGCCCTGGATCAAGAGAACAATGAAGCGTTCTAAAAAAAGCCCCTTTGGAGTCTCCTGTCCTCAGAGTGAGCTTCCTCTGTGACTGACCATATTTTCTGGGGCTGAGGCAAGAATTCCATGGGGATGGGGATGGGGATCCTGAGTCATAATAAATGGAACTCTAGAGCAAAAATAACTGAAGTTTTATTTACTCACTGTACCACTTAAAATGTGTGACAATGTAGCTCCAAGCAGCCCTCTGCTATCAGGTCTCTGAGTTTTACTTCCTCTTCCCTAAACCCCATGCTGCATAGCTGCTCATCAATTTCTCAACCACACCTCTTTGTTGTTGAATCCTCTGCCAAGGCTGAGTCTCAACTCCATTATAAAAGTGCAATCATCTTTCCCCAAAAATGAACCTGTCTGGTCTTTAGTAACTTCCCTTTAGGAACTAACCTTTAAGCCAGCTGTCTTCACCAATCCTCAATAATTTGGCAGACAGCCAAAGCTGGGCAGGGAGGGAGAGGGGATAACTCAAGGGATCCAGGAGCCATGGGCACTCAGTACCGTCTTTCCAGGCATCTGTCCCCAGTCTAGGCAGGCATCTTCCACAACCAGGACAGTCTACAGGTTAGGAGGCTGAGCTGTTCCCGTGATGCTCCTCAGCCTCACCCAGGTTCCATTTCCCTGTCCTGCCCTGGGCTCAGCACTGAAGTCACTCAGCTTCCTTCTTCCCTGGCTGACTTTGCCACACCAGCCTCTGTTTTCCATCCTAGTGTCCCTGGCCATTCGCTTCTTTCCCTTCCAGCCCACCCTGTTTTGAGCTAGCATCTCAATCAACTCCTTCCTGACAGAGTTCCCAAAATCCCCTCTGGATTCTCCTGTCTTGCTTGTCCCTGCCAGACCTAGACTACCAACCCACTTGATACCTGTCTGCCGGCGGAGCTAGGTCCCACATCCCACTTGGACAGAGGCAGCTCAGATTCTCTGTCCTGCCCAGCATCTGCCAAGTGTTCAGTCATTCAGCCAGCATCCTCAGCTCCTTTCAGCCTGTCTGGGCCTCATAGGAGCTCTGGTGGCATGTCTCTAAGGCATTTGACTGCTAACCAGAAGGCTGATGGTTCAAACCCACCAACCACTCCTCAGAAGGAAGGTTGGGCAATCTACTTCCATAGTCATACCACCTCAGAAACCCAAGAAAGGGTAGCTATGAGTCGGATATGACTCCAGAGCAGTGTGTTGCATTTGGCCTCCATCCCCAGGCAACCTGGGTTATGGCATCCTGTGAGCCAGAGGCTTTCAAAGCTCATGGGCTGGAAAGTACTACTTATCATCTATCGATAGACAAACCAGCTGCCATCAAATCAGTTCCAACTCATGCAATCCCACATGTGTGAGAGATTAGAACTGTGCTCCACAGAGTTTTCAATGACTTATTTTTTTGGAAGTAGATCTCTAGACCTTTCTTCAGAGGTGCCTCTGGATGGACTGAACTCCCAACCTTTCCACCAGAGCATATCAACCATTTGCATTACCCAGAGACTCAAATTTGGAGATTAGCTTTTTAAAAGTTATATACAATTCAACTCTGTGGAACCCTTTAAAGTTAATAGAGGTTCCCCCTGCTATCCCAAAGTAGAGCATTCCTATGCAATCTTTCTTAATGCAAATGGGATAAAGTGAAGAAGCAATTACTATTAATTTATATGGGAAGATTTTTTGAGTATTTCCAGACTTTTAAAGTAAATAATTTTTAAAAAATAACATATAAACCCTTAAAAAAAAACAAAACAGCAACATGCTCTGCTCAGGGTACACACTGCCTGTTTAATGGCTCCCCGCAAAATAAACAGTGAATGCTAGTTTCACTTTTCACCTTTTTTCTGTAAAAGCAAAAATTATCTTCAGATTTCTTGTGGTTAGGAAAAACATGTACTAACAGAGGTCTTTCATAATAGCAAGGTGGCATAAAGAGAGCTTTCGAAAAGCAGAGGATACCTGTATATAAATCTGATTTTTTTTTTCCTATGTGAAAGACTATTCACCAGGTATGTTTAAGTTAAAAGCAAGTTATAGAGAAGTATATACTGCAACTGAATTTTTGTTTATGAACATATTTTTCTTTTAGGCTTTTTTTTTCCTTCTACATATTTATTTTCCTAAATATTTTTACAATTTGTATGCATTATTTAGATAACTAAAAGCCTCATTTATTTAATTTGAATGAGATTCTAAAATAGTATTCACTAAATGTTTTAAAATGAGTTTTAGTAAAACAAGGAAAATGTTTGTGCTGAATCATGAAAACTACAGGATTCAAATCTAAATATATTGTGATGATACCAATGTAAAATATACATAGAAAAAAATTAGAAATAAATTTACCTATTTTGTGCTTAATTGAGGTAATAGAATTAAGGCTGACAGTTTTCTACTTTCTATTTTTTAATATTTTCAATATTCTTAATTTTATAATGATTAAAATCACTTTATTTATTTATTTTTTTAATATACCATGTCAGATAAAAGATATGCTTAAGTAAATTGGTAGATGTATTAGTTAAGATCACCTTAACTACTCTAAGAGCCAAATTTCAAAACTGCAGTGGCTAACAAGGTCACTGAGTAATACAAAGGAGCTCTGGTGGCGTAGTGCCTAAGGCACTTGACTGCTAACCAGAAAGCTGATGGTTCAAACTCACCAGCCACTCCTTGAAAGGAAGATGGGGCAATCTACTGCCTTAGAGATACTGCCTGGAAACCCAAGGAGGGATCACTATGAGTTGGATCCAACTTGACAGCAGTGAGGTTTTTTTTTTTTTTGGGGGGTGGGTGGGTAGGTAATACAAAGAGTTAAGTGCTTGGCCACTAGACAAAGTATTGGCAGTTCAAACTCACCCAGAGACACCTCAAAAGACAGGCCTGGTGATCTGCTTTTGAAAAATCACAATGAAAACCCTATGGGTGTAGTTCTACTCTATGCACGTGATGTCACCATGAGTCAGAATCAACTTGATGGCAACTAACGACACAATGAAACTTTATTTCTTTCTCACATAGTCCAAAATGAGTGTTCCCGATAAATAGCACTCTCTTTACTCCCAAGTATCTCAGTTTGGATAGTGAATTACAAGATCAATCATGATTAAGGGACTCAGGCTCAGTGCCCTAAAGATTGCTTTCAAGTTCCCCCTGACAGAGGAAGAGCCTATACAATCAGGCACAGGTGTATCTTCTGGGCAAGTCAGGAACATGAACACCTCATTTCCATTCATTCCATTTATTACAACAATCACAAAACTACACCTAATGCCAAGTGAGACTGGGCAATGTAGTTATTCATGCCCCCTGGAAGAAAAGGAAATTGTTTTGCTAACCTGCTAGCTCATCTTTACCACAGTGTTTAATGTTTCCTGTTCATAAGGATGATGATTCCATTTTTTTCTGTTTATAAAATGAATACATTTAGATTATTTAAAAAATGGAAAATACAAAGGTGAAAACAAGAGTCACTAAAATTGTTATTTGGGTTGCCTTTTTAACAGAATATTGGAAGAGGGCCTGAGGGGATTTATTTGAGTCCACCTCTTTTTTGTGGGCTCCAGGGGCACCTACTCAGTCTCAGAAGTAAGCTTTTCCACCAGGAAACACTGAGAACTTTGATGTTTCTTTTTGTTTGTTTGTTTTGTTTCAAATATTTCTCTGCCATATACGGGACTTCCAATGTGCAGTTTTCCCTCTAACTATCCTGATGTGAAGATTACATGCAGAGCCAATGAATTTGCTATAGCAAATCATGTACCTAAGACTCTCCCAAGAGTTCAGCAATTCTTTTGTCACCTGCTGTTCTGGCTACCTAGTGCCACTCTGACAAGAATATACCACAAATGGGATGGCCTTAACAAACAGGAATTTATTCTTACAATTTGGAAGCTTTAAGTACAAGTTCAAAGTGCCAGGCTCTAGGGGCTGTGTAAAAGCTCCTCCACCTTGGGTTGCAGCTCTGCCTCCTGCGTGTGGCCCACTGAAGCTGGAGGCTTTTCTTCACTCGGCTACTGTCTGCTGAGGCTGACAAACCCAAGGTTGACAAGTAAAAAGACACAGTCCCTATGTTACCATCGGAAGTACAGCAGGCCATTATTTCAAGTCCATTTTAAGTCCCAAGGTTGGCAGAGCATGGCAGACTGCTGGACAACAACATGGCTACATGCAAGGTCCAAGCATGCCATAAGTTAGAGACCCCAAGGCTTTTGCTTATGTACAGGAAGCAGACCACATTCCCTAAGGCTGCTACTCAGGTGTTCACAGTAGATTCCACCATGGAGTTCATTACCAGTCTCATCGTGGGGAATATTACATCCAGTTGCCCAGCTACTCAACCAGGCCCAGCCAAGTTGACATACCAACTGAACTACCACACCTGCTTAGCACCCTTCCCACAGAAACAACAACTCAAGCCAATTCTTGGCAAGAAGTGTCTTGCTCCCTGCAAATATGTGTAAAGAGAAGACCACGGCTCTAACACAGCCTTCTCCTAGCTCTGGCACCTGAATACCAGAGCCTTTCCCACTTTGCTGATAATAGAACAGTCACAAGCACATCAATAGAAACTTCCCAAGAAGCTTCTAAAATGGCCTTCTATTGACGTTCAGACACCCATGAGGATGTCCAGAGTGTTTCAGTAGCACATTGGTCTCCTACAAAACCAAGAGGAACTAAAAGTGGTTGCTGACTAAACTAGCATTGAAGGGAGGGAGAAGTGACCCAGCAACTGCTGGTAACTGCCAGCCTGGAGGATTTGCGTTGTTGATTGCTAATGTGACCCAGGGGATACGGGAAACCCTCTACCCTAGTGCGCCAACAGTCCAAAGAAGAGGGGGAGAAAACATAACTGACGGATATGTAATAAAATAGTCAAAAGCAGATGTAACCAACTGTAGATATTGTGAAACATATCATAGTCTTACTTGTTCAAACACCACAAATGTTTTATTAAAAGAGAAAGTAAAAACAATGAAAAGTAAATGCCTCTATCGACACAGTGGTTGCAATGGTGGGCTCAAGTACAGCAAGGATTGTGAGGATGGCATGTGACCAGGCAGT